ATTTCTAGTTGTTTAGGAGTTTGTGGAATGACTGTTCGAAGTTTTCATGATGAAGATGACCTTCCCGTTGCTGCGGTTGTAGCTCTTTAACATGCTTTTGATGCTCAATCAAGATGACCTATCCATTGCTATGATCGTAGCTCTTTAACAGGCTTTTGGTGCTCCACTCATCTGCTTGTCTACATTAAAGATTATGCATTGATCTCTGTGATTCTTAACGTGCATAAGTGTTATGTGTGGCACAAGCTACTGAAATTACCTGGAAATCAGTTTAACTTTAAACTGTTCACAATCAGGTGCCATGGCACTTCTTTTGCAGAAAAATTAATACTTTTCCAGTGTGTGGTTATGCAAGTATGATAGTTATTCCTAATTGTTCTTTTTGATATCTTGGAAGTCTCATAGTGGGTACTGTTAACTCTTATTTGATGCGTTTTCTTCAACATCCATAACCAAGAATCAATTATATAGTTAAAAAGAAGTAGAACTAGTTACGAGGACCTATATGCATCTCTTTCTTTCTGGTTTAGGAAAAGGTAAGCTCAACTACTTTTTATTTTCTCTTGAGGTGTGTTTAGTATACCTATTCATTTTTTTTCAGAAAAAGTAAAAAAAAAAGTTAGAACTTTAATGGATAATCAACTACATACTTCTTTAAATAAAAATGATTCATTCCACTTCATGAGTTGTACACAACTTGATGTGTATAATTAAATGCTTTTGTAGGCTGACAAAACAAAGTCATGGAAGGGTTTGATCAATATTGCAGTATCAGGTGCAGCTGGAATGATATCTAATCATCTACTCTTTAAAGTAAGGAGTTCTAGCCTTATCCTTTGCCTTCAAATCTGTTTTCATTTTTCAAACTAAATAGATTGTGTAATATATTTTTGTGTATCATGTTTTTTATGGTTTACCTTTTTCATCTAGTTAGATCATCTGCTACTGCTACTTTCTTATACTATGTTTCTGTTTGATGAAAATTCATGGAGGAGGATTTGCTAAATTTAATATTGACAAAATTTTGTCCTGACTTGTTACAGGGGAAAAAAAACTAGTAGTGTTGATAAAAGCGATTTTGATAACAGAGAAATATGTAAGCATAACATTTTGTTTTCTTTTAGTGACACAGTCAAGTGCTTAATCATTTAGATAATAGCTTTTTCTATTCAGGTTTCTGTGCCTAAAAATTTTAACAATTAGCACTTCTTATGTGATATTTCTATAATGGTTTGCTTATTGCAGTAGGGGAAAGGTGCTACTAATTGGTAACCAGTGTTGGTAAAAGCATAATTCAATTTTTAATTGTTCTTGATGGTCGAACAGAATAGGAAGTGTGTTTTTGGTTCGTATTTGAAAGCTCTTTTGCCTATTCTCTTTTACATGTGCTGACATAATGCCTCCAATATTCCATAGGCTTCTGAATGGGGCAGAAACTTTCTATAGCTTTTTGATGAAATCAATTCAAAATCTGACTGAAACTGTTCACTATCGTAAAAATACTATTCATAATTCTCTAAGCAGATATTTTGAACATCTTCATAATTCATTCTACATAAGTTGATAATGTATAGAACCTTGGACTTCTTGCATTTGGGCATATTTTCAGTGTTCTTGCTAGTGCAGTTACACCAACAACTAACTAGTGGAAAATCTAAAATGCGTTTCATTTATATCAACATTTGTTGATTTATTTTGTACATGATCTATTGGCTTCTCTTCTGTTGTTTTATGTTTATGCATCTTAGTTCAGATATGTGTAGGTTGGCATGATGTATGTGTGTATATACATATTTGCTTATATGCATTCATGTTTTTACATGTACATATACATAGATAGTTCTTTGAATCTTGTTGAGTAATTCACTATTTTGTTTGAGGTTTCAGCTTGCTTCTGGTGAGGTTTTTGGGCCAGATCAGCCAATTGCCTTGAAGTTGTTGGGTTCTGAAAGATCATTTCAAGCTCTCGAAGGTAATGATTATTTAGTTGGTTTAAGACTTGATGCAGAAGCTCTCATATGAAATATACTTTGTAATTATTCTCTTTCAATGGCTTATTACCTCCTTCCAATTATTTGGAAAGTATAGGAGTGGCAATGGAACTGGAGGACTCCCTATATCCTCTGTTGAGGGAGGTAAGCATTGGAAAAGATCCCTATGAAGTGTTTCAGGATGCAGAATGGGCACTTCTGATCGGGGCAAAGCCCAGAGGCCCTGGAATGGAGCGAGCAGGCTTACTAGATATTAACGGGCAGATTTTTGCTGAACAGGTTCTTCATCTTTTTGGGTACATATGTACATAAGATTTAGGAGGATGATATTTGTTGCATCTTTGATATTTGAAAACAAAATTCAGGGAAAAGCACTCAATGATGTGGCATCACGCAATGTGAAAGTTATTGTCGTGGGTAACCCATGCAATACAAAGTATGACCAATAACTTCTGGTTGATATCTACCAATAACTTCTACTTGATGTCTTCAGTAGAGCTGAGTGCTAATCCACTGAAAACTTACTCTTTTCAGTGCACTTATTTGTTTAAAGAATGCACCAAATATACCTGCCAAAAATTTCCATGCCTTAACCAGGTTGGATGAGAACAGAGCCAAATGCCAGGTTGCTTATGACAATTTTTTTTTTGTTTTTATTTCTTAAACTGCTGTTTGTAACTTTTCTAGTATTCTACATTTATGAATTAACATTAACATTTCTTTGTCATGATATCTACAGCTGGCCCTCAAAGCTGGTGTGTTTTATGATAAAGTCTCAAACATGACTATTTGGGGAAATCACTCGACAACCCAGGTCAGGATTCAAGAAACTCTTCCAATGTATTAATATTTATCTTGTGTTATTTATCAATATCAATTTCTTGCAGCTTGGTGAAGTAAGATAAAATTAATCAGTGTAAAATTAAAGCATATTAAAAGAAATATTTTATTCAAGTAACCATTTTGTTTGCATTTCACTCTACCAGGTTCCTGACTTTTTAAATGCTAAAATCAATGGCATGCCAGTAACCGAAGTTATAACTGATGTCAAGTGGTTGAAGGAAGAGTTTACTGAAAGAGTTCAAAAGGTGTACTGATTATATGTTAATCATATTTACTGTAAATATGCCAGGATGAGACAGTTTTGATTAGTTTATGCTGGCATTGTTATTTCATTTTCAGCGTGGTGGTGTCCTTATACAAAAATGGGGTAGATCTTCTGCTGCATCTACTGCTGTTTCCATTGTTGATGCCATAAGGTCCCTCATCACTCCCACACCAGATGGCGATTGGTTCTCTTCAGGGGTAAAATTATTATATAACAGACTTCATTTTAGAATCTATCATACCTTTTTGGTACTTTGGCATTTGACTTCCATTTCTAGCATCTAATGTAATGTTTTCTGTTTGTTCTTATGCGTGCAAACAATAATAACCATATACATGGAAGGAAAGTAATCTAACTGCTCTTATTATTAGCTGTCAAGTGTTCTTAGTTTAATGTTTTTGACTCGAGAACTCAGAGCCGTTTTTATTTGTGTTTGTGTACTTTGGTGGAAAAGATATGTGAAACTTATAGATGAAATCATAGATTTGAAGACTGTTATGTCCATCAATTACCTGGCCTTGTACACTTAGCTGCCTTGAATATACTTATATGACAAGTTAAAAAGAGACTTCTTGGTCACAGTAATATATGGGAGATGCAATTTGAGGGTCATCAAGTCATGGAGATATCTCGGTGACTAGCCAGTAAAGAAAAGTGTCATCTTAGGGATGGCTGAAGCATGAGTTCATAATCAATGTACTCATTGATTTAAGCTAACCTTCAGAATACTAGAAAAGGAATCGGAACACTCACGGAAAATCAAATCCTTTTCTGAAATCATACAAGTGCTCAGAATTATGTTTGTTCATTTATTCATCTAAAATTTCACTAGTATATTGCAGGTTTATTCCACTGGAAATCCTTATGGCATAGCAGAGGATATTGTGTTCAGCATGCCATGCAGATCGAAGGTACCCTTACCCTTATATAGATTTCTTGTCTCACTCTTCTTGTATTTGGAAATGTCTTTAAACAAAATCATGTTATTTCTCAGGGAGATGGTGACTATGAACTAGCGAAGGATGTGATATTTGATGATTACCTCCGTGAGCGTATAAAAAAGGTATGTCTCGCTTTATATACACTTAAGACAAGGATGATTCACCACCGTCAGCCTTGTGAATGCAACCAATTTTCTACAGACCGAGGCTGAGCTTCTTGCCGAGAAGAGATGTGTAGCACATCTGACCGGAGAGGTAAGCAACATACATAACATACCTGTAGGAACACTCCTTGTATACCCTACCAGAGTTTGGAAAATGCAGGTAGCTTATGCCATGTGCTTCTTCTCAGGGTAATGCCTATTGTGATCTTCCTGAGGATACCATGCTTCCCGGAGAGCAGTAACACCTAAGAAGCATTTATCCACAATTTGAGAAATGTGCCTTCAAAACGTATTGACAGGAGTCAAAGCCTTTGATTACACCTCCCAATAGGATCTGCTTGTTATTTTTATATATTAGTATATGCAAGTTCCGCCAACTTGATCCATGTTGTATCATAGATGTTGTACCATAAAATATATCAGGCCAAAAGCACCTTCATATTGAATAGGTAGCTTTAGTGTATAATTTCCTTGAAAGTATTGTGGTTTGGTTCCATGATGTCATTGGAAATTGTCACTTCAAATTCCAATACAGATTTGGGAATCTTCGGCAGCTTTCATGAGATAGGCAAATTACAATCAAGTGGGGACCAGTTATTTTTTACAATTTCTACAGACCAGGATGAATTTGTTTCGGTAAGGCAATTACTTGATGGTAGAATTTGTTTTCTGATTCCTGCTGTTTCGTTATTATGATTTCTTCAGCAGTTATTATTAGTAAGCAATAATAGAACGATTTATCTTTTCTCGAGCATATGATCGATCGAAACAATTACGGATCTGAGAATTGGATTAGCTACACATATATTTGATTAGATGTTTATTGTAGAAAACAAGATAGGTAACAGTTGTGCATTAAAATGCAGGTTTCTATATTATCTGGAGCTGTTTCTTCTTGTTCTCGGCTGCATCAGCTGCTTCCACCTGCATTTTAGCAGTTTGAAGGTCCGCTTCACTCGCTTCCTGCTCACTTTTGGCCGTGGCTTTCTTCACCTACGTAACATCACCAATTGCACGCATCAGCGAAAGATCGAAAGCAGCGTGAGAAAGAGAAGAGAGATGACTAGCGGAACCACCACGTACGTACCAGTCCTGTGACGGAGGCTTTGGCGTCCTGCAAACCTTCCTCGAGGGAAGCCGTGAGTGATACCAATCCCTTCTTCATCTCTGTCATCTTTGAGCTATCTTTCCCGTCTCCTTCCATTCGGCTGCCGTTGGTGCCTGCCTTTGGGAGCTCTGCACGAAGATGAAGCGTGACTTTACTGCTACGTGTAAGAATGTCATGCGAGACGTGTCTCGTGCACCGCAATGGTAGGCATGAGCCATTCGAGTGGCCGCACGCGACCCTGCTGATGACTGGGCTGGGCATTGTGTTCGCTTAGGAACGGGCTAAAAAGAAACTTTAATACCTCGTTGTCAGTGGCGATCGTGGGCAATTCTTCTTGACACGCGTTGACAGATCGATCGACATGGATTAAACTCCTTAGCCGCCGTTGGGCTGCAAGAAATAGAAGAGAAAACCAAAACGAGCCCACGGCTCCTCTTGTTCTTTTCCGTGTCATCAACTCTTCTCGAGGTTTACTTCCGCTCCCATTTCTCGTGATTTCGGGCTCCGCTTCTTTTTTATCTCTTTCGAATCTAATCATCATTCCAATCTTTACAGATCAGATAAAGATCTTTTTCAGATGACATCGAAGCTATGCATCGTGAATATGATCTTAATAGTATTTGATTTCAATCCTAACATAAAACTTTTCATGTAATTTATAACATATTATAAATTTTATGCTTATAATTTATAGCAAAGCCTAGGTTCCTGAGATCAAATACGTTAGATCTGTTATTTGTTTATGATGCTTCAATGATCCGTATATTTTATCAATCTAAATTCCTATATACTCCGTCTTGTTGCCTGCTTGCAAGTGATGTTAGCTTCTTTGGAACACGATCTTCAATGATCGCAAAGCAATGACGATCATTGTGCAGCACCGCTGTCGGTGGCAATCGTAGTAACCTCATTGCATATAGCCGCTAGGCAGCATGCACACCACAGCAGCAACAACGATCGTAGGCAGTCGCTAAGCGACGAGTTGTACGCGATTAACCGCACATCGCAGTAGTCACGCACAAGTAGCAGCGCGGGAGTAGCAACCGCGTCTAAGCGGTAGCCTCATGCAGGCAAAGGTCGCGTCCACGTAGCAACCACGCATAGGCGGTAGACTCGTCTAGGTGACGATAGTGCACGGATAGTAGCCGAGTCTAAGTGGTAGCCTCACATAAGTAGAGGCTATGCCCAAACGCCAGTCACATAAGTAGTAACCACCCGCAAGTAGTGGCTACACTAGTGGTGCCCGCCGCACGTAGTAGTGGTGCCCGCCGCACGTTGAGGTGGTGGTCGATCTACCCCTTAGGGTTTTAAAAAATATACATCATTACCCCTGTAATTTCTATTAATTCTATTTTAATCTTTTTGATAATTATGTCCTTTAGAAATCTCATAATTTCAATTTATGTCATATCAATAAATTTACTATTTTACCCTTATGAAATTGAGAATTTTTTATTTATATCCTTAATTATAAAATTGATCAATATAATTTAATTAAATTTGATCATGACTATATTTTGACTAATTATTGATTGAATTTAATATCGATCAAATTTAGAAAGAATTAAATTTTGATCAATTTTTTATTTTGATCGATTTGTTTAATTGGGCTTATGTTTAGCATAATTCTAGGCTTGCCCAAAGTAAATAAAATTGATTGGTTTAATTTAAGATTTTATGCAGAAATTATAAAAAAATATAAATTATGATTTTTTTATAATTTTCTCATATGATTTATTGATTACATGATTTATTCACGTATATATGTTTAAAATTATGAAATAATATTTATCTTTCACATAAAGATCCTTCATTATTTATGTGTTATCATAATTACAATTATCATATGAGTTTTTTCTTTTTGTTGATTAATATTCAATAATTATTATATTTATTATTTAATTATTTCTACATAAATTAGATTAAAGAAATTTGATAAATATTATTTGTAACTCATCTTCCTATATTTTATTCGAGCGGTAGCTGCCACAGTGGTTTGGAATGATAAACTTATGGGATGTAAATTATAATAAAAGTTTTATCATTTACAGGATATTTTAAACTATATTTTATATTATTGTATTAGTTTTATAGCTACCAAAGTGATCTAGATCAATAACTTATAAAATAATATTAAGAAATTAGTATTAAATGATATTAAAGAAATAATATTCATAATGACACACATGAATATTATTGAAGATTTAGATAATTATCTTAATGGCACACATAATAACCTTAAATGATATTAAAGTTTAGATAATCCCAAAGTAGAATCTACTTCAAATAATTATGTGATGGGTAGGATGATAATGTTTTGAATATTTTTGTAGTTTCGGGTTGTATACCCAAAGTTAACAATACTATTCCACAAGGATGGTATCAGTCCTCCATAAATGATCTTAAGTGAACAGTCAATATTTCACCCCAAAGGTAAAATATGGATGATATCAATTATTCATCATATCATAAAAAATTTAAAGTATTAATGTTATTTTATATTTTTACAATGGTACTTTCGTCCATACATTATTATGCTTCAAATGTCCTTGTATTATTTGGATCAAATTATTCATAATGGTTAGAGCATGTGCAATTCACATTAGGTATATTAGATCTTGATTTAGCATTGCTTATTGAAAAGCTCACAGACTGATTGATGAAAGTACTATGGAATAAGTTAATGAAATGAAGGCTCGGGAAAGATTTGATATGCTTAGTTTAAAATTCATAAGAATAACAATTACAAATAATATAAAGACTTCATTACCGATTGCAACTAATGCATAAGAATACTTAAAGGTTATTAAAGATAGATTTAAATCTGTTGATAAGTGATTAGTTGACACACTAATGAAAGAACTGAATACGACTCAATATGATGACACTCGAGGAATTCAGGATCATATCCTCAATATGGCTGATAAAGCTGCAAAACATAAAGCATTAGGCATGAATGTTGTGTTACGATCAAGAGTCGGGGTCGACACTAAGAGGGGGGGAGGGGTGAATTAGTGCAGCGGTAAAAATCACATCTTCAAAAACTTCGTTGCGATAAAACCGTTTTCGACGAAAAATCGATTTCGGAAACTTAACTTGAAAGCGTACATAATGAATTGAAGGCAGTAAGCACTTAAGGAAGTTTGCAGTAAGGTAATAGCAGGAATGAAATACAAACCTGAGAACACAGCAGTTTTAGAGTGGTTCGATCAACGTGACCTACATCCACTTTCGGCTTCCTCCTCCGACGAGGTCACCGGTGTCCACTAGAGGCCTTCCTTCAATAGGCGAAGGCCAATCACCTTTTACACCCCTTTTCTCCTTTTACTGGGTTTAGGAGATAACCCTTACAAGCACTCACTTTTCTCTCTAAATAGAAATCTAAGTTTAAGCTAGAGGAGGGAATACACTTATGATTGCAGTAGCGTTTTCTCTCTTTTAATCTCTCTGTGCTTGTGTGCTTTACCCAAGGATGAGAGGGGTATTTATAGGCTTCAAGTTGATTCAAACTTGGAGACTAAAACTTTCCCATCCCAGATTCCCCGGGCACGGGTGGTACCACCACCCAGTGTCAGTTGACACTGACATTGCCCTGGGCAGTACCACCGCCTGGGGGGTAGTGCTGGGCGGTACCACCGCTTGGCACTCTGCTAGGGGCGGTACAACCACCCAGACTAGCGGTACCACCGCCTGACACAGTCTCGAAGACTGTGCCACGATGGTGAGACTTCATGGGGCACTATTTGGGTTTCTTATTGGGCCAAACACGGTTCTTACATGGGCCTAGCTGGCCTCTAATTGGGTTGGCCCAAATCCAAGCCCAATTACGTACTAAATACGAAATCCTAAGACATTTGCTAAGCAAAACAAGTACATATGTCTATTCTTCCAGCGAGCTTCTGACGAACTTCCGGCGAACTCCTGGACTTCACGACGATCTTCTTGGCGAGTTCCGATTAGCTTCTCTAGCAAGCTTTGAGACTTCTCGGTTGGTTCCTCCAGAACTTCCGACGAACGTCCGGACTTCCAACGAACTCTCAAACTCCCAATGGAATCGCGTCCTTGACTCTAGGACTTCATTTTGCTTCATGCCTTGCTATCATAGTTAATCCTGCACATGTAAAAATACACTTCGATCTAGACAATTAATACTAAGCATTAATCAAGTTGTCCGGCATGTCATTGGTTCCCTCGACGCTTCGTCCGATTCTTCGGCGTATCGTTCTCTCTTGTAGTCTATTGCCCAATCGGTCAGTTGACTCCGCAACTCCGATATCCTTGGCGTAATATATGCTCTTCTTGACCCGATGCCCGAATCCACGGCTCGAAGCCTTCTGTCGATACATTGACCAATCCACTGGCCCGATGTCCAATCTTCTGACATGTTCCTCCGGCACAACATGGTTCTTCCTGCTTTAATTGTCTCATCTTGATCGAAGCATCCTGCGTCACTCAAAACGCAGATTAAAACATTAACATATATCAATTGGTTTCATCATCAAAATACGAGATTCAATAATCTCCCCCTTTTTGATGATGACAATCAATTGACGATGGAGTTAACCTTAACTCCCAGAGTTTAAACAGACTCCCCCTATCAATATGCCGTATTGATAGAAACTCTTGGATTCAAAAATCCAAGCAACATGTCATGATCAAATCATGCATAATATCAACATACTTCTCTCCCTTTATCATCAACAAAAAGGAGAAGTTCCACTTTCTAGGTGTTTGACATAACAGAGTAAGATAACAATTTCTACAACATACAAGCTAGCAAATTTTATAACATTTTAGAACATGCGAGCTAGTAGTTTTGAGATGTTCAAGAAAGCAACACTTGCTTCTTGAAATATGCAAGTTGCAAGCTAGCAATTTTTGCTTCCTTTGCAATGTTTGAGCTAGCAATTTTACTTTCATTGCAAAGTGCAAGTTAGCATATTTTTCATCTTGAGATTAGCAAGATAGCACTTTTGGTATGCAAATTTATAGTATGCAAGCTATCAAATTTTACACATAAAAAATTTAGCAAAATTTTACATCTTTTGAAATGTGCAAGATGGACTATTTTGCCTCTTTTTGAAATGTGTAACTTGGCAAACATTGCTTCTCTTGAGATTTGCAAGATAACACTTCTTGCTTCCTTTTTGAGATTAGCAAATTAGCAAGTTTGTCTCTTTTCGAATTGTACAAGCTAGCAAATTTGCTTTCTAGCAAGTTTTGCTCCCCTT